CTGCATGATTGCATGGATAGATACATAGATGGTGAATGCGTGGATGGGTGAGTAGGTGAATATGTAGGTGGATGAATGAATAGGTGGGTGGGTGGATAAATAGATGGATAGGTGGATACATGGATAAATGGATACATGAGTGAGTGGATGAGTAGATGCATGGGTGAGTGGATAAGTAGATGGATAGATAATGAGTGACTGGTTGGCTAGCTAGATGAATGGATGAGTGAATGGGTAAATGGATAGAGGGATAAGTAGGTGGATGGATGGATGCATGGATAGATGGATGCATGGATGGATGGATGGATAGATGGATGGATGGATGGATGAGGGGATGGATGGATGAGTGGATAGGTGGATGGATGGATGAGTGGATGGATGGATGAGTGGATGGACAGATGAATGTGGGTGGACAGATGGACAAGTGCTTTGATTTTTGTTATCACATGGCTCCAGGGAAGGATGGCTATGAAACTGTCAGTTTGAATTGGCCCAAGTCCCATTGGAGCAACAGAACCCCTCACAGGTTAGACCCTCAAGGTTCCCATTATCTAGAGATGAAGGAGCTAGGGTCACCCCATATATGGCCACAGGGTTACCCATGCCCCTCACTCCATCCAGCATCCCTCTCCTGACCCATACCTCAACTTGGGCCTCATCCCAGGCATCCAGACGGACTGACTTCACCTTGCTGACCTGGGGGATGTTCCGGTGGATCCCAGAGCAGCTCAGACAGATGAACACACCCAGGGTGTAGGACGCCCAGTCAGGATCTAGAAGGGAAGGGCAGAGGTCAGGGAAGCTCAGCCAGGACTCTAGGGCATGCCCATGAGGAAAGCTCAGTCTGAGACCAGAAGGGATAGACGCAGGGTCCCATGGAGGGCCATGGCAGGAGGTGGCGAGGATGGAACTGAGGACCTTGTGCACACCAGGCAAGAGCTCTACCACTGAGCCACACTCCCAAACCCTCACTAGGGGATTCTATGCAGGGGCCCTACCACTGAGCCACACTTCCAGCCCCTCACTGGGGGATTCTAGGCAGGTGCTCTACCACTGAGCCACACCCCAGCCCCTCACTGGGGGATTCTAGGCAGGTGCTCTACCACTGAGCCACACCCCCGGCCCCTCACTAGGTACTCTAGGCAGGTGCTCTACCACTGAGTCACATCCACAGCCCTCTTTATTTTTATTTTGAGACAAAGTCTCACTAATTTGCTGAGGCTGGACTTGAACTAACTCTGTATTGCAGAAAGACCTTGAATTTTTGATCTCCTACTTCAGCCTCCCAAGTTGCTGAGATTATAGGCCTACCCAGTTCTGGTCCAGCTAAGAAGCTCTAAATTTTTTTTAAATTATATTAATTTATTTTTTAATTTAAAAAATCTTATGTATATGGGTATTTTGTCTGCATGTATGTATACCACATGTGCCTGGTACCCAAGGAGGCCAGAAAAGTGTATCAGATGCTGGAACTAGAGTTATAGATGCCATGTGAGTCCTGGGACTCGAACCCGGGTTCTCTGGAAGAGCAGCCAGTGGCCTTGACTGCTGAGCCATCTCTCTAGACCCACCTTAATTGATTCTGTATAAATACATGAACGCATGTGAGTGGGTGTGTCATGATGTGCAGGTCAGAGGACAACTTGTGGGAGTCAATTCTCTCCTCCCACAACACGGGCTCCAGGGAATGAGACTCAAATCATCAGGCTTGGCAACAAGTGACACTACCCGCTGAGCCATCTTGCCAAGACAGGATGTCTAATTACTTAAAAGACTGACATTGGCGCCACACTCCCAGCACTCGGGAGGCAGAGGCAGGCGGATCTCTGTGAGTTCGGGGCCAGCCTGGGCTACAGAGTGAGTTCCAGGACAGCCAGGGCTACATAGAGAAACCCTGTCTAGAGAAAAAACAAAACAAAAATACAAAATAAAAAATAAAAAAATAATAATAAACCTGCCATTTCACTGCTAGTTACTCACCGAGGAGAGATAAAGAGGTGCCCATGAAGAGATGCTTATATCTGTGGCAGTTATGTTTTCAATTATCGGTATGTTTCATTTCCATATGTGTTATGTGTATGCATGTGCTTGTGCTCACCTGCATGTGTACATGCGGAGGCAGGGGGCTCACACCGGGCACCCTCCTTGCTTGACCTCCACCTTGTCTTTTGAGGCAGGGTGTTTTGCTGCACCTGGAGCAGGCCATTTCAGCTCGACTGCCTGGCCAGTGAGTTCTGGGGCTATGCTTGTCTCTGGGAGGCGTGAGCAGTGAATCCTGCTGATGGAGCCTGGCTCTAGAGGCCTTTGCCCTTCCAAGTGCTGATTCACAGCTGAGATCTGGCCCGATAGCTGAACCACGGCCCTGAGCGGGCAGCTCACGACTGGAGGGTGGAGTCCCGTCTCACTGATATACCAGGGTTTATTTACATGGTTCCTGGGGATTCAAACTCAGGTCCTCATGCCTGTGTAACTACAGTAGTTAATTCTGATTTTCAACCAGACTTTGATACTAGCAAAGTGCACTTTGGTGTGTGTGTTGGCGTTTTTAGGATCTTGAGGGCTCTGATCCAGGCAAGAGATTATTAATTCCTTGATTTATTCGTAACACAACAACATTATTGGGAGGTGTTGAAAAGCAGGAAATAGTGTCTGGTTAGAAGAAGCAGGTGACTCAGGGTTCAGCCTTAGGGACATATCTCACTCGGGCACCTCCTGGTATCCACCTCTTTCCTCTGTTTCCTGCCTGTCCAGATGTGAGCTGTCTGCCCCTCCACCCCCTCCCCAGCATGACACTTCTGAAACCTGGAGCCGAGAGACCTAAGATGTGTCTCTTGGGAATTTGGTCTCACAAAAGCCTAACTAACACAGTATTCAACAATACATAAACAGAGTGATACACCATAAACCATAGTGGCTTCTACCAGGAATTCAAAGCTGGTTTAACACTTGAAAACCAAGCAGGGAGGCCAGGCGGTGGTGGCACACACCTTTAATCCCAGCACTTGGGAGGCAGGGGCAGGTGAATTTCTCTGAGCTTGAAGCCAGCCCTGTATACATAGTAAGTTCCAAGCCAGCCAGGGCCATATAGTGAGACCCTATCTCAAAACAACAACAACAAACTATTTATATTACTATAAAAACATGAAAGACCTCAGGATAAATATGACAACAGATGAGAAAGACAGTATATAGAAAACTATGAAATATTGTGCATAGAAATTAATGATCTGGCCGGGAGGCGGTGGCGCACGCCTTTAATCCCAGCACTCGGGAGGCAGAGGCAGGCAGAACACTGTGAGTTTGAGCCCAGCCTGGTCTACAGAGTGAGATCCAGGACAGCCAAGACTACACAGAGAAACAGAGAAACCCTGTCTCAAAAAAACAAAAACAGAAAGAAAAAAAAAAAGAAATTAATGATCTGTAGCATGGAAAGACGCTGTTTCTGGGTTAGAAGAGGCAAGAGTGTCAACACATAAACTTTTGGCAAATTAATCTATGGACTTACTGTAATCTCCACAATATTTCCAATGGGAATCCTAATGAAGTAAATTTTCAAATGAGTCTAGAATTCATATGTGAGCTCAAAAGGCAGACTCGAGGCTGGAGCATGGCTCAGGTGTAAGAGTATTTGTAGTGAAAGAGTGAATACCTGAGTGTGGATCCCCAAGACACACACAAAAGCCATTTGCATAATGTGAGCATCTGTGACCCCTGTGCTGTTATGGGGAGATGGGACACAGAGCCAGGAGAACCCCTGGGAACAGATGGGCCAAGTGACTGATGGATGTACATGCACACAAATAGCAAAGCGACCTGCCACCAACAAGCTCAAAGTGAGGGAGACACCAGAGGTTGTCTCCTGACCTCCACATGTGCACTGTGGCATGTGCACACCCGAATTCACACACATAAATGCACCCCCATACATATGCACACACACCGTACACACAAGTAAATGAATGAATGAATGAATGATATCAAACCATCAAGACAGCCCAGAAAAGAGACCAAGATGGAGCCCAATGGCATTGCTTTCAGAACTTAGTACTAAATTATTGAACCCATGTGTGCACATAGATAGATAGACAGATAGATAGATAGATAGATAGATAGATAGATAGATAGATAGATAGATAAGTCAATTGATCGCACACCTTTAATCTCAGCACTCAGGAGGCAAAAGCAGGTGGATCTCTGTGAGTTTGAGGCCAGCCTAGTCTACAGAGTGAGTTCCAGGCCAGTCAGGGCCACATAGAGAGGCTCTGTCCATCTATCATTCACTCACTCACTCAATCATTCAATGTTAAATAAATATATTTTACATTTTATTTTATTTTATATGCATGGGTGTTTTTGCCCACAGATGTGTCAGTGTGAGAGTGTCAGACAGTTGTGAGCTGCCACGTGGGTGCTGGGCATTGAACCCAGGTCCTCTGGAAGAGCAGACAGTGCTCTTAACTGCAGAGCCATCTCTCCGGCCCAAATAAATATATTTTAAAATATACATTATTAGAGGGTCTAGACCGATAAGTGTAGTCCTCGCGCTTCATTAAGGTAACTTCTCTTTGCCATAGATGGAGGCCATTGTAGAAAACCCTGACCAATCAAAGCGCAGAGATGTGGAGCCCAGCCCCCATGGATACATCTACAGGACACTTGCTACCTAAGGCTGAGGGAACATAACAAAAGAGGGGACAAGATGATTGTAAGAGCCAGAGGATCGGGGAGCTTGCCGTGAGATTATGTTTCCTAAAGTGTCATCAACATGACTGCCCAACCATGAGCGGAACAAGGACGACACCAGTGACCACGCCAAACTGGACAGGCAAAGGCCCATGAGGCCTGAACCCTGCACAAAGAACGACAGGAAACGGAGGAAAGCTGGGAGAGAGAGGGGCCCCCCACCCCAGGAGGAGCACAGCAATTGGTTGTCCAGTGCCAAACAGCCCTGAAAACATGCATGCAAGTAACAGCACATGGACTCCACAGGTCATATTTAGGAATATGTATGTACATATAAACCTATATGCACGCAATAACAATTGATGGGGAAAGAGCCCATGTGTGTGAAGAGGGAGGGATTTATGGGAGGGTTTGAGGGAGGAGAGAGGGAGAAACGTCGTCATTAAATGACAGTCTCAAAATAAACAACAAGAGATGTGTTACTGAAAGCGGACTTAGGGGAAGAGGGCCATACATTATCTTGAGGAAATTAAAAAGATCTGCTTGCTCTTGGAAGGCTCCTGTCAGGAGTGGGAAAGGTGGAAGAGCAGCCACACCCGGAAGAGGCTGAGCTGAGGAGAGCGGGGTTGGAGCTCAGAGACACAACAAAGAACAGACGACAGAAACAGGCAAAACAGCAGCCGCTTGCCCAAGGGATTCTGCGGGTGGCAGGAAACCCCCTCAGTCACGGGGCTGCAAAGGAGCATGTCACTGTATTTTTATACGTGTGTGCGTGTGTGTGTGTGTGTGTGTGTGTGTGTGTGTGTGTGTCTGCATGTTCATATGTGTCCATGTGTGTGTGGAGGCCAGAGGACAACCTGAGGGAGTCATCATCCCTCGGGCCCCATCCACGTTGGTTTTGGCTTTTGAGCCAGGGTCTCACTCTGTGGTCTGGTCTCGAAGTCACGGCACACCTCTGCCTCCCCAAGTGCTGGCATTAAAGGTGTGTGCCACCACACCTGGATTCCCCCTTGCTTGTTTGTTTTTTAAGACAGAGTCTCTCACTTGACCTGAAATTGGCTAGGCTGGCCGGCCAGCAAGGCTGAGGGAA